TATGTCTGTAAAATGTAGTACGAATTTTCCAATATCGTACCAACTGAAACACGAGGTGGCCTGTTGCAACACATCAAATTGAAGGACACCATAAATAAGAGGTTCAGCTGGGATTCAGATGAGTCTCCCGTGAAAACCGAACTGGTGCGGTTGTGGAATATTCACATGTTTCTGACTACCCAAGTTAGCTGAATCAAAAGCCGCAAAGGTTTATATTTACTTGTGCGATCAAAAGGGTCAAAAATTAAAGCAGTGTCACATTCCACTGATCGACCAACTAAGCAGGTCACTTGTCGGTGGCTTTAACAGAATTGGAAACTTTAGTGGATGTTTTGTCCTGCCAATACGATCAAACTACACTGAAAAGCCTAGAAGCACTATACAGCTGTTTCACCTCTTTTGGCAACCACCAGCAATGCGCATCTCCTGTCTAAGAGCCAGCCAATCGCACCGCTGATCAGCCGCTCATGGGTAATAACCCAGAAGTCGCCGGTTAGGGGCTCGATAGATTCCCAAGAAGGATGAAAAAGCTGTACAACGCTTCTCGACTTTTCAGCATAGATTGGCATCACTCACAAGGCGGAATCTTCGATAAACAGGTCACTCTCCAACCACAAAAAAGCGTCACAACAAGAAACAGGTTGTGAGCCATTTTTCTAAGCTATCCAAGGACGAATGAAGTGACCTTGAAATTGCGGTATGAGAGTACGACACTGAAAGACACCTGGATAAGTCGAAATCTGGGACCTCAGTATACCAGTAAGAATGTTGAAGAATACGCGACATTAGTGTAAATTTTTTGGACGTATTTTATTCTGACAACATAGCCCTTTCACATCCTTATAGAAAAATCAGCACCAAGCTGCGAACAACCCGGAATATCGCACACATCATTTGTTCCCGAATCATGCACAACAAACAGCCTCGAACCCTCCAGTTCGGCTGTCGCAGTCAACCGTGGCCTCCTAAATGTTATTGATACACAGCTATGTTATTTCTATCCCGATTCTCCAGCCCGGTTATCTTTTCTACACTGCTGCTGGATTCTGAGTGAGACTCTCAAGCAGGTCTGGTACACTTCTACCCAGGCAACTGCCCTGCACGAAAGCAAAACTAATCCTCTCTAGGTATATACTGATATGCTAGCTTCAGGGAGTATGTCGCAGACATGAGAGTAAGTATCAAAATTCGTCCTCGGATGTACAAGGCATTTTTTATTTGATTCGTGTTGAGACTGAGTAATTAGTGTTCACTGGCCATGACCAAGATAGGTGATCCAAAAATAAGAGTAAGATAGCAGAGCGAGTAGCTAAAGATCAAGCAGAGGGTTGTAGTAAAAAATTGTGAAATGTGAATACTTGTTTTATCGGGAATTCTCAGACCAGTTGCTTACGCTTCACGATCTTTGTCGCCTGCTGAGAGGAAGTACACACAAATCGATAAGGAGGCATTGGCGATTCTGTTCGGAGTAACACGTTTTCAACACTACCTTTTTGGACATACGTTCGACATATTTACAGACCACAAGTCTCTACTTGGAATCCTCTGAGAAAATAAGCCAATACCTCACATGACGTCGCCTAAAACTTGCATGCCATCGGTATCATTTGCGGTACGCTCCTGGACAAGGGAATCTCACGGTGGATGCCCTAAGTCGCCTACCATTACGAGATGTACCATTACACAAACCGAAACCAGCCGAGCTGGTAAATTTAATGAATAGGTGCGTGGATGTGTGAGGTCGACAAAGTGTATCCTTATTGACATGCTGTTAGAAGACGGGAGGATAATACGCCGTCATTTAGACCATATCAGAACTAGGAAGCATGGACCAGATGCGGAACAAACACTGGAGCCGACAGTGCAGGTGGACTCCGGACTGAAGCAAGAGAGTTCGGAAAAAAAAACACAAATGCGTCAGGGTGTCAACGCCGGTCGGCTAGGGAGTCAAGGTCGGTCGAACGTCATCAAGCTGGAGTTGGCTAAATCTAGCGGTGGAGGGCTGTAGTCAGAGCGTTTGCGCGTGTGCGTGTCCGTTCGTCGTTCCACCACCGATCTGGCGTGTGACTTGAATAGCTGGGTGCGTGTCCGATTGATTGGCTCGCGTAAGCACTGTAGGTTGACTGGATATGTACTCAGTTGTTTGTTTACTCACCACGAAAGCTGACCAGTTGGCCGCGTGTACACAGTACACCCGTGTCCATACACACGTGTTCTTCTGACTTACTGTGAACTACAATATCTTCTCAGCTGGCCGATTCCATTGGAATGAGTTAAGCTATTTACTAAACGCACAGGTTGACTCTTACGAATAGATAAATGTATTTGGCTTGCCAAATTAGCTACTCGTAGCCTCATATCAATATCCACAATATGCGAGAAGAATTACGAAAATGATTAGCCCAAAGCTGTTTTTGGTAGGTGAGGGTTAAGTTTCCACTTATTTTAAGCTAAAAGTGCGCAGCAACTTATTCCAGTCAAAGTAATATTACTGCCCAAAGATAACTAGACAAGATGAATTCTGAGCTTCCCGCATCTCCAGTCAGTTAAGCGCTTTTGACAAATTAGAAACAGGTATCTTAACTGGTTTTAGAAGATTGTACCAGCTCACATTTTACTCATGTCCATTAGAATGACATACTACTCGTAAAAACCACTCTGCTAGTTGTACAGCGTCCGGGGAAGCAAATCCGCAGAATCGAACATGGAGTGTCTGGTTGTCCTACGAGGGTGGCGTCTTGATGACCGGACGATGGATTGAGTGCTAGTATACATATACATACATATAAATATATATGTATGGATATGTACATATACATATATGTGTACATATATGTGTATACATAGGTATATAAATACAGAAATGTCACATTTTTGTTTGGTTGCAGATTTTTCCTTTCGTTGTCACGAGTCCTGTTAACACGACGTAGGGAACTTGCACCAGTGACTTCTACTCTCGAACATGGCTTTCAACATCTTTAGTCAACGGAATTCGTTCCCCCGTGGACCCACCATGAAGAACGCACCAGCCCAAGAGTGGGATCTGGATGGTCTTCAACACCAAAAATGGTTTTGAATTGAGGCCTTCTTCCTTTAGTCAGGGTCAGCGCAGGGCATAGTTAACACAGGCCAATTCATTAGTCCACAATTAACTACGAGATCGGCTGGATAGCCGGTGGACAAATCCTTGTACGCTGGGAGACGCCCTGAGGAGTAAGTAGATCAGACTACAAGCCAAAAGGTCAAGAAAAGTTACTTCAGTAGCTACTTTGAGAAGACTTTTCAGATGAGAAGTTTCCCTGCAAATCCCTAACAAGTAGGAGGCACCTTAGTCAACATTAACCAAGGTCTAGTTGTTTGGTCGATGAAAATATCAACCGAAGGACAACCACACGCAGAACAATTTTCCGACCCATTTACGAACCCGAATTCGGTCGATTAAGTGGTTGCCAACGGAGACCAGACCGTCCCATGCTTTTTAACTGCCTCCAATACTAACCCAGTTTCCCTGCCAAACAGCCCACATTAATTCTTCGCCGGGAGCTGGAAATCAATGGCGAACACCAATTGGCCTGATCTAATTTTCGGTCATCTACCGGCAATTTACGAACATTCGGTCGATTAAATGGTTGCCAACGGAGACCAGACCGTCCCATGCTTTTTAACTGCCTCCAATACTAACCCAGTTTCCGTGCCAAACAGCCCACATTAATTCTTTGCCGGGAGCTGGAAATCAATGGCGAACACCAATTGGCCTGATCTAATTTTCGGTCATCTACCGGCACTGATTCCCGGTACACTTCCCAGGGGCAACATACACACACTGACATCGACCAACTGGTTTTGCAGCAGACATTTGCCCATCCACGCTGTATTTCAAAAGCTCCATGACATTTTCAGATGAATGCATAACCCCAGTTATGTTGTTAGATCATAAACTTTTTCGAAGAGTAGTGTATCGCACTGCTGAACGTAAGGTAAAGTAGCAAAGAAACGGAGATTAAGCCAACCAATCCGGGGAACGAAATGTAAGTCGGGAATGTCAAACTAGGTTCCACGAATAAATCGTTAAGCAGAGCCTTCGAGTGATCCAATTAGAGAGTTAGGCAGATGGCAGCGGACTGACGTTTATTGCAGTCCATCTGGCACAATGCCCCCGCCTGCTAGATGAAATGCATCCTAGAGGGGACAACTTTGAAGGCCTAGGACACTTAAGTTTCGAATCTGCTCTCGAGGATAAACGATTCTTCCCCAGAAGAAACAAAGAATAAACTTTTGGTTTCCTAGCAATCTAATTTACCCTCAAGAAGAGACGCCACGACAGATACAACTGATAACCGGCTGACCATCAGTTCGCGGAGTTTGCGTGGCAAGCACAACCGACACACTGACCTGTGCTGATTGTGAACTATTGTCCGCAGGCCATACAAACAGCAAACGCTCCACAGTTGAAATACCGTTTGAAGGTACTATAATTATGGGAGAGAACAAAGCAACTCCTGATAAGCCAATAGCAATAAATATTTCCGTTGTTCTAAGGGAATACGTCCCTGTGAGAACTCCAGCCATATTAAATAAGCGGTCCCTAATGGGCTTACAATCAGTAAACAGGTTGTAAACCATGCAGCGCGCTTATATTTTCGGGTTACCAGGTATTGAACAGCTGGAGCATTCGCCCCGTTTATTTGGACATCACAGACCCCGTTTGCTTCCACTTCCAAACCTGTTGATCCGCAGCGTCGATACCGATGTTAAGAATGTGATGGTATCCCCAAACTCTGAATACAGTGGCACTTCTTGAGTTTAGCCCTCACAACTCCTTCCTATGACCTAAAGCTGACCCTTACTCTCGCATTTCGGCACAAACTAACTTGACTGTAAGTGCCTTCATCGCACCAAAAGCTCACGTAGACCTAATGGATGCGGTATTCTTCGAGTTCAGACTGGAGGTTGCACATGACCTTGAAAACAGGTACTTGTTGAAAGCCTCTTTTCTTATTGACATTCCGTGAGATTCGACCTTCTCCAAGGCGTACCCTCAAATTCAAACATCTGGCGCACAAAATACCACCTTGTCTCAGATACAAGTGAAATTACACTATGTGCAGATAGCATGGAACGGTGTTCTGATTGGCTAACTTCCCACATCCGATATGTTGAAATCCCATGCAGATGTTTCCTCAAAGTGTCGTATTTCCCACTGTACAAAACCCTGCCGAAACATGTTACACCTAATACCGATACAGGATTTGAGTGGCACACACCACAACAAACACGTTCTTGTGTAATAGCTGCAGCTGGACACCCAAAACTGGAGATTCGGCAAGGGTCAAGCACATACAGTGACGGAAGTTTTATGAAGTAAAGCCCTAAATAGAGCACTGACGGACCCGATCTCAAGCAAACGATCCAGCTGAAGAACGAAGATGGAGTTATAGTCTGAATTTTAGTCGTAAATGGAGGCGTATACGGACTCTTCAATTTTGTAAAGTAGCTGTGCAACTGATGTGCTAGAACGCATCTCTGGATGCTGCTACCAAGAGTCACAAAAACCTGCCCGAACCGATCAACGCGGTCACGACAAAGGGACGATCACTAAGAGGGATATACTGTAGACAGCCCTTGCTGTGCTTGAATTAACAGGATGGTAATCTTACTTTTTACCTCCGGATGAACGCTATTAGGAACAGAATCCTCTAGGAACATTGGTGGTCAAAACGTTCAGCTCGGATTGCCTCTACTCGTGGTGTTCATGTTTCACAGGAAAATATGGAAGGCTGCGTTGAAGAACTGGATTTTTGTGCATGTACTAGTCTCCCTTTTTCAACAAAAGGAAGTTCAGATACGCTGGATTCCTTCTTTAGCCTGTCTGCTACCTGCTGAATTACTTTTGAGAAGCCGTGTTAGCTACGTCCGTGCAGGTGGAGAGCTTGAACCTTCACGTGCATATCATCAATCCGACGAGCGCTGTATGTGATAGATTACCAAGCACATGCTTGGTTTTTCGAAGTCACCACTCAACAGAGCGATATCACCAGCGTACTCCAGGTCGCCTGTCGGGTTTTGGGAAGCTAAGTGGACACGAGATGAACTCTTCAATCCAAGTTCAGGTGATAAATCAATGGCAGAGTTATGGTACCAGTGAAACTGGACAGCCTTCCCGTACGTAAAACTCGATGTAGAACTCTCCGATCGATCACCACATACGGGGACTCGAGCAGTCACTGATCAGTTAAAGGACCTAATGAGGTCTACCAGCTTCGCGACGAAACATCGCCAGGACTGTGCCGAATGGCTCACGGAATCCTCCTTGGTTTGGCCTGGAGTGCGTAGACCGCGTTCGGAAGCAGGTTGTAGCAGAAAAGATGATAATTATCACAGACAGTTCCGTCGCCTATTTTGGGGATCACCAGTAAAATTGAGATACCCAGCCCAGCGAAACGGAATCAGTTACCCACACTGTTTGAGAGGTGCGAAGATACAGGATTTGTAGACCTCCGCACGGACTCTGTTCCCTGCGGAGACATTTCTGCTCCTCCGTTGTCTCAATCGCAGCGATCTCCGGTTCACTTCGCTGGCCACACTTGACGTCATATGTTATTGAGGCTAGACCAGTTTTAAGTCTTGATTTACGGGCGGCTTAACTGTTTGAATTATTCGGCTCATCGGTCAATCTTCCAATCATAGTTGTTTAGGACCTCTCAATTCGTTCCAAATAGCAAAAACTGCTGGAGGTCTTGTTGAACACGTTCTTGTTTACGACTGAGTGAGAAATATACATGGGGACGTAAACAGCTGTCTGCATAAAGGCAATCTTTTCTGTGTTGTCTATTGTTAGTGGTGGGCCAGATGGACTAAGTGGCTAGAGTGCGAATTTACTGACCGGAAGGTCCGTGGTTCAAACCCGACCTCTGCCTCTCGACTTCCCCTGTCTAGGCTTGGGCAACCTGGCAGTATCCCAGCCTTCGTGCTTCCTTCGGGTAGCATGGCAGCTAGGCACCGAAAGGGTGCTACAGCTGAGAGATTGTTCTCAACTCCTTTCTTTCATGTATTCCTGGCTTTACCTAACTCATGTAACTGTCAGGACGCGTCTGTACATAAAAAAACGCATATGTGCAGAGAACAGCGGCGCGTCCCCGAGGTCACCATCGGTCAACACGTTCCGGATAGCAGCACACGACCAGTGGAGTGGGTGTGAAATTGTTCACTGCAGGAAAGCCGTCGCTGACTGGACAGAACAAGCGAACGACCCGAATTGGACATTTAGCCACCCTATGTACTTACGCATAAGCTCTGTACGTCTGACCTGACATGACCTGACTTGACCCGATAATACAGGCGTGTCCCGGTTTCTTTATCTTCTTCTTGTCGCTCAGCACACGACCGAGTGGGTGTGAAATTGTTCACTGCAGGAAAGCCGTCGCTGACTGGACAGAACAAGCGAACGACCCGAATTGGACATTTAGCCACCCTATGTACTTACGCATAAGCTCTGTACGTCTGACCTGACATGACCTGACTTGACCCGATAATACAGGCGTGTCCCGGTTTCTTTATCTTGTTCTTGTCGCTCAGTCTGGCAGGCTCAGTTCGGGCGTGATCAATTAGACGGCCACCCATGTTAAACAGTAGCACAGGGAAAAGCTTGCAGTGGATCAAAATACTTCAATTCTGAAACAATCACGGTAGTTTACGAAGGCATTCACTCCATAAAGTGCAAAATGGAATTATTGTAACAAAAATGCAACGCTGTTCGGACATATGTGAGGCACAGCCAAAGGACGAAAGGTTCAGAAAGAAGGCGCACACGAACAAATGCTGCCATCCACACCACCATTGCTCAAAGCTCATCCCGTCTGGTAGTCAGTTTTGGTCCGCGGTGAATCTTACGTCTATCCCTCCTGGTTTCTCTCCGAAGCCGTTCTGCTTCCGCCTTTTCGCGTATCAATCGCTGAACAGAAAATAAAACGGTGTAAGAGGTCAAAACGCAATTAGAATTGCTGCGACATTGGAGAAGTTCTTCACCAAAACAGGGAAAACACTCGAGTAATTTATAACTGTCACTATTTGGTAAATACCACACACGCAAGCATCGCGTGCGTCACCACACCCAACGTAATTAAGCACGTTTCAGAAACCAATGTTTCCGTTCATAATGAGCCAAAGTGGCCTTCTGCTATCTGATTAAACGTTTACACCGACAAGATAGAAAGATTCAGGTTTCAGTGCTCATAAATAAGCTAGTGCGCTAAATAAAAATACCGGAGCATTAAATAGGCAAGAGGTCAAAAACGATAGGCAGGGAATCAGCTATTACTCCCGGACCTCTCACCGGGTGGAATCAAGCCACGCTGAAAAGCTCAACGGGAGAACTTCCCCTCTGCACAATACATGGTTGATCAGAAGTTTGGTGAACAGGAAACTTGACAGAACATAAAAGACATCTACTTACTCCCCGTAGAGATTAGGTTCAGGTGAACTTGTGTTTAGAGAAGGAATTCTGAAGTTTCGATTGTGGGCTTCAACCAAATGAGGAGAAAAACAGCTGTGTTCAGCTTTTCAGCACGTGTTAGCCACGACTTACGGACTGGCATCAGATATAAAATTCCAAACGTTTCTCAACATTTTCGTTGAAATTGATACGTTTAGCTCAGCACCTAGGCCATGAGCTAAAAGCATTCTCCTTAGCCGCTCTTGACGGGACTCCCAAACGTGCCTTGTAAATGTTGTATTTACCCGTTCTGAAGTATCACAGTGACACTTATGGAGGTTTTGAGATACGATATCATCATCATTATCATCATTAGCAGCTGTAAGAACGCGAACTTGTCGTATAGTGATTATAACTGCTACAGTTTCGTCCAACGATGATTTGTGGAGGTCGTGGAGGTAGCTGCGAATTGGAGGCGTGAATACAAAACCATCAGTGCACTTTTAAGTGGGGAGTTTTGGTAGGGAGCTATGCAGTGAAGTCAATAACTTGGATACATGAACGCCATTGAGGGTGCGATTGGGCCATGTCTGATAATGTCTCTAACCATTGATGTGGCCCGTCTCGGGGTCCCCATCCAGGAAGACGGTAATCACCAGCACAGCTGAGTTTGCTGGTAATGGCTTTCACACTTCGCTGGCTAGTTTCAATCCTTCGCGTGTTTCTGCAAAAAGAACCCCCCGAGGAAGTTGGTCAAATGGCATACGGAGTACGTGGCCAAACCAGCGCAACCTACGCAGTATAGTCAGTTCATCTATCGTGAGTGAGTTACTTCTTCCAATACCATTCGACGTATTTCAGCATTGCTGATCCAGTGTTCCCACCGGACTCGGGCAGTGCTCCGAAGACATCGATGCACAAACACTGAAGGTCTTTTGACGTCCTCGGTGCGCAGCGGCCAGGTTTCTGGCCCGTATAGCAATATGGATCACACCGCAGCATTGTAAACTCGACCTTTGAAGGATAAGCTGGGTCCACGCCTACGCAACAAGTGATACAAGTTCATGAAAGCTGATCTGGCCTTCCAAATCCGGATGGAAATACAATCTTTCGCAAGGCCACCGGGACTGATACAGCTGCACCGGTTAACAAAATTGTCTGCTGCATCAAGCGGCTCATTCGCAAGCATGAGGCTAGGGTTCGAGCCTACACAGTCTTGCAGTAGCACTTTACACTCTGCAGGTGAGAAGCGCAAGCCAAACCGTGAAGCAGAATCATTTAGTTTTATATTAGATTTAGTAGCATTTGCATCACCACGGCATTAGATACAGGAAGAGCTATGTAGTCTGCGTACACGATATCAATTCGATCCCACAGACACTAGAGGTTGATAGTGAGTCTTCCATAATCTTATCAATGACGAAGTTGAAGAGGACAGCCGTGTCTGACGCCACTTAACGTGTTGAACTCATGCGAGAGTTTCCTGTAGACCTTTACACGTCCACGTGAGTTGTAGAGTCAAGAATTTATAGGGGACACCTTTGTTTCATAGACACTGCCATAGTGCCTGACGGTCCAGAGTCAAAAGCAGCTTTCTGATCTAGGAAGACAAACATTTTGGCTGCCGGAAGGAGTGTCGCTGTTCCAGAACCTATCGAAGGGTAAAGATGGGATCGATGCATCCGCTTGCAGGACGGAAATTATTTTGAGCAGCTTTCTGACCTAGGAAGACAAACATTTTGGTTGCCGGAAGGAGTGTCGCTGTTCCAGAATCTATCGAAGGGTAAAGATGGGATCGACGCATCCGCTTGCAGGACGGAAATTATTTTGGTTTTCACGGATCTGTACCTCCCTGTGTTCGGTCAACCTTTGAAAGATGAGACCAGAGAGCACCTGCCATGTCACAGCTACCAAGCTGATGCCACAAAGTATTCGCGTTCCCTTTTTGAAAATGGGAATAAATGTCGACATTCTGTAGGCACCTACTCTTCGTTCCAAATAGAACCAATAAGCTTGGTCAGATGGGTCACCGGGGATTCTGCGCTTTCTTTGAAAAGGACTGGATACAGATCGTTCGGTCCTGGTGCCTTGTCAGGGTTCAGTACCGATATTTCATACTGTATTTCTTCTTCCAACGGACGATTAAGGTTTATGTTCCATTCGCCCTTATGCACTATCTCCACAGGCTGGGTTGCAGGGGGCTAGCTGGACCGCTCTTCGAAGTGTTCGGTCCATCATTCCAGCTAACGTTTTTGCGAGTGAATTAATGAGCCGCCTTTTTCACTTATCGTTTCACTGACAGCTGCTCTCCTAGGGCCAGTCAGTGGTATCAGCTGGTATAGGGCACAGCTGTTCCCGAAAGTAAAATCATCCTCCATATCCCGAGCTACCGTCATCCACCAGAGCTCTCGGTCGTTCCGTAGGCTCTTCACCATTTGGCGTTTGAAGGATTTGCGTGCGCCATCGTACTCATACATGCTGGCAAGCATTTCCTTGCACCGATCACGGATAGTGATCTTAACAACATATAGTGGTCTTGTGGTGGAACCGGAAAAGACGGACAGACACAAATGAACGCGGCTAAAATAGCTCCTTTCACATTATGCCACGCTCCACCCACGTGCTCACTTCCAGTCAGCATTGGTTTACTGTGGAGAATTTTTGGCCTAGCTCACATCGATACTGTTGGGCTGTGGTAGTTTTTCGAAGATGGTGGATTGGCATGCATCTTGCTGGTTTGAGAAGGCCTGAGAGGAGACGCACTGTCAGGCATGCACGCACCATGGAGTAATCGGAATCAAGTTGCGTGCGTCAGAAGGAACGGCAGTCCTGCATTGTGGCACTTCGCCAGTGGCTGATGGCTACATGATCCAACTGGGTTGATTCGCAGTTGGTGTCCGCCGGGTTACGCAGTGTGAAAACTTATGCTGAAAGTTCGTACTGGCCAGAAACAGTGGATGATCAGCATACAATTGGAACATTCGCTCTCCGTTGTCTTTGCGACGAGCATCGACTCCAAATCAACCACCCGAATGCAATCCCAAGGCGCTCAGACGACCGACTTGGGTATTCATATCGCCTGCAAGTACCACAATGTCAGTGCTTCTTGCTTGACGAGGGAGTCCGGATATCTTTCGATAGAAAGTATCCTCCTCCGCATCAGAACTGCAGTCCGTTGGGGCATGAGTCGACAATACGGAAGAAGTGTGAAAAACCTTAGTTCGTCCTTGGCCTTCTGAGATGCACAACCACGCTTGGGTCTTGAATGCACATTTCGGAGACACAGCATACACTCATTTTAAGGGAGTATTAGGTTTCAGCGAGCATTGCCTGTTTGCCAATGTGACATAGACTACGGATGTTAAAAGGGGGTGAGATGGCCCAAGTGGTTGGAGTGCGAATTTACTGACCGGAAGGTCCGTGGTTCGAACCCGACCTCTGCCTCTCGACTTCCTCTGTTTAGGCTTGGGCAACCTCGCAGTATCCCAGACCTCGTGCAACCTTCGGGTGGCATCGCAGCTAGGCACCGAAAGGGTGTTACAGCTAAACGACGACGCCAAAAGCTCATATACAGAAATGATCTCGTGGATGTAGGAAGGTGTTAGTTTATTCTCAAAAGGCAGCGGGGAGCATAAGGCCCTTCGGTTGGACAGTCAAGTGACCCAGCGACGTTTGCTTGTATGGTGGGAAGGATTTGAGGAGGGACATCGATGGATACAGAACTGTGCGCGCAAATGATACTTCCCGGTTGCCCAGTGCGATGAAGGGGGTTTGGTTGAGGTACCCCAATTTGAGTCGTTGACGCAAAAGTCTGACCCACGAGGCAGTGGGAGAATGTAGGGTTTTCTTTGGTGACCATGCCCGGAGCCGACGACTGAGTAGTCTGACCTGCTCGGCTGCAGGGGGTTGGCCTAACCCGAGGGCGCAGGGAATGAGGCATTACTGTCTCATTCCTGATAGGGCTGCGCAGAGCAGGTGCCTTTTGAGCAGCACCGGATTCTTTGGCTTTAAAAGTATTCCGACCGTATTGGGAAATGCGCCGGCGGTCACGGTTAACCGTTGGGCGATCGGAGTGTGCGGCTTTTGGGGCCGACCTTTTCTAAACCGTCCTTCCTCGGGGGGAAGGCAGCATCACCTTTTCCATGAATATGGATATGCTGGTCACCTGGGGGAACACCTTACTGCCTTCATACTCCTGTCGGAGAGGACAGTACGACTTTACCCCAAGACCGCCTCGTAGCACGATTACTCGTAGTACAGGATCTTGCTGCTCTTGATTCAACTGCTTTCCTTTGGTTTCCTGACATGGTTGCACCTTGTGGAACGAAATTACAGCCAGTGTATCCCACGGGATCATTGCAGCACCCAAGCCCGATCACCACGTCAAGGTGGTAGCCTTAGGCCGGGATAAGATAGGATGATGGGTGTTCAGAATAGGTTTACGCTGTTCGACTGTATCCCCCGACAACGGATTAAAGACATTTTACGTAATCCTATGAATACTACCCGTGGATCAGATGTGACTAGGTCAACCCGCTCAGCAGAAACATTTGAATTTAGTAGTATTGAAGAAGTGTTCTACAGATCACTGACCTGATGGGCTGAGGCTGGATTCACATAATCAGCAGGTCGTGGGATCAGGTTTAGTTCTTGACGTCCACGAAGGAATAATTGTTCTTCGGCAGCAGGAATCACTCCAGACAGCATTGTGATGTTAACAGCCCACTGAAGAACGTCCATAGTGTCCTTGCCTTGTAATACGTGGTGAACCACATCGGGATAGTGGAGTGATAGTTCTAACAGGAGAGGCACGGTTTCAATTACGGACACCAATGCTGTGGGGTTTGACAGAAACGCAGAGAATTGTAAAGGACTAATTAAATAGTAAGCAGTGTACAAAACAGAATTATGTTGTCCGATGGAGCCGAATCGCATGGGATTTGTTCGAACGTATGAAATAGAATAATGTCAAAATAACATTCAACGTACCAACAAAATGACAAGAATGGTATTTCACTGCCATGAATGCGAAAATCATTCACTGCTGTGGAAACAAACTTTTCCAGGATGTACGAACGAATTACTGGGGCTGTGGAACGTGTCCCGAATGAGCTGACAGAAATCGAAATGAACTTTGGTAGAGCACTTGTTCTTGGAGGAAAACGCACGTAGGTTACGTGTTTATAATTACCCAGGCTGGAAATTTCTGCGATATCTTAATTCATTCACACGGATATCCCGAATGGATACTATGGCTGCTATTGACGGTGACAGAAATGGTCTAGGTCCAGTACTCACATGCGAGGTGAGCTAATTTCAAGAGATTCAATTCTAACCTATACTTGATAGAGCAGCTCCAAGACCTGATAATCACGTCATCCTTCGTCATCATCTCAACAACTGATCACGAATGCCATGCATCAGCCGGTTGCACCCAGTTCGTCGGCAACAAGTGAATTATGTTGTTTCATTGAGCATCTTCCCGTGAAAGCCCAGCGGTCAATTTGAACTTGGAAGTGGAATGGCTAAAGAGCAGTAAGCATTTAGTCCTTAGCGTTTTTCCTGTACACACATGAAACCGATTCGGGACAGAACGAGTGCGGCTACTCGCATTCGGTGGGCATCAAGACGATTTGGCAAACTAGGCTCCGAAGTGCCGACAATCTGGCTGGCTTTGCTGTTTTTTAGGAGACGGTGCCAATGGTAACGCCAGGGACAGTTCAAGAACCTTCAGTAAGTTCACTCCCTCATTTCCAAGGAATTTAAGGCCACATTAACGATCAATTTTGTCCACTGAATTATCGTTGCCAGAACGAGGCACCAACAGAAGACGAAGCATCAACATAAAACTTAACACTCAGCATTTTATCCAGTCACGGTAAACATTCTAAGGAAGACCTCACAGTACGGAGGATACAGAAGAATTATTAGATTTTAATTTTGGACTGTATGAATACGAATCATAAAGGCGGGCATTAACTCAAGCCTCCTGGAAAAACACATGTGGAATTTGGCACAGATCAAGTAGGTAAACCTATATGGATGGATTATAAGAAACTGACCGGTCGCGGTGTGATCCTTCATTGGCTCTTCATCCAGATCAACAGACTGGAGTGCACCGTACGCAGTATGAAGAACCTGAACTCAGAAAGGGAAGTAAGAACACGTACACACAAAGCTGGAAAATTTGAAAGACAGCGATTATAGAAAGACGACAGATTGTACCCATAGAGACAAAATGAGTTCGAATTAAGAACGACTAAACAAGTAGCATAGAAAGGTAGGCGGGAATTCAAACCACCGGTTTCTCCCTATTTATGATTCACCGAGGAGATGCTGCCCCAAAATTCAATAATTCTTTTAGGAACCTATACGACAGATTCGTTTACAGCTCGTTGGCATATCACGTTAACGCCAATTTGCTAAAGCAAATGAGTGATTCAGGCAGCACATTTACAATTTGTTCAAATAAGACGAAATGATGATTGAAATTGAGGGATTCCTTTCTAATGATTTTTAGACTCAGCAGAACTGTCAACCGACCAGAACTGTCGATCAACCTTCACATATTACTTGTAAAGAACAGTACTCCAATAGTTTGAATGTTGGTCTGATTGAACCATGAGACCGGCTTTCGTGCTGCCTATTCGGTTGAAAACATGACAAACTGAATGTCCGCGTGAAGCTCAACAGGGTCGCAAATGAATGGATGGAAATTCAGAGAGTACGTCGAACGTGATGAGCAAAGCGGAAGGGCGTAACAGCAAAGTAAAGCAAACAGCTTTCTCGATTTAAGCCGGACAGACCCATTTGCATGGGCTAGAGGTGGGTACTGATGCAAATGCAGATCTGATCGACACTTGGCAGTGAATGCGGACGAGTAAGACGAGTAAGAAACTGAATTAGGAGCAGCGAGAAACTAGGTGCCATATTTTTAGTGGTGCGGGATGTTGGTGTAGACCACTGGAGTTGACATCTTTCAGAGCTAAAACTGGAACTCTTAGGGGACCACATGTCCCAAACTACAGACTGCCCAATTGCGCGCTGCATTAACAGCATTCGACTAACAGACAAACCAGTGATTTCCCTAGATCATCATGAGGTAAATACAAGGTTAATTAATCCCAGAAACACTTGGATACCTATTGCGGGCATTCCGCATTACTGGCCGGAAAATCTACTGACCCGTCCCTGGACACTTTCGCACCCCAAAAATAATCGCGAATGATCTACTTAGGCAGTACCCGATGCACGCGTAGGACAGAACAGAGGACCGTTGACATGCATTGGCACCGATCGATTAAGGGTCTAGCGAAAATACTAAGTAGTACGAATCTTTACATGCGTTCCTAGAGAGGACCAGGCAGTCTACAAGCTGAGCACTAGGGTACTCAAATGACATCAGGTGTAAGGAAAGGTTAGCCCCATATTAGTGTTAAGGATGGTTTACGTAAAAAAAGACTGGTCGAGAGTTCTGTCTCCATGCCCGGGACGAAAATGATGAGGTCCTGTAACTCCTGCTCAAAATGCACCTTGTCCAAAGTATTATTGGGACTCAAGCCTCCATAAATTACTGAATGTGCCTCAGAATAGGGGTCCTGCGCACAGACAAGCTAGCAATCTTCGCGTCTTCCATGAGCATTTCGCCATGTAAGCGAAGCTAATTTACATTATTGGGAATCATCTGCAGTTAACATCTCACGAAGCTTCAAGGAAAATTCGAAAAGGAAAACCACGAAAAGTCTTCGAATAGTTGACTCGAGGTGAGGCCTTTGAAGGAAATCCTACCATCACCTCGAAGGTCTGACCACTAATTCAGGGATTCCCCAAACATCGGTTCTTCCGGGTCTAAGAGGCAACCGGTAGGGGAAAATGTGGCTCAGTAGAGCGACAATCTATAATTAGGATGTCACAGCTTACAAGCAGCACACAGGACACAGGAATTTACCCACACATAACTGACAATAATTGCACTCGATGAGAAAAGACTCGGAAGATTCGATATCACGTTGACAGCTTACCGAGATAAACACGGTAAGACAAGGAAAACCCTTGAATAATAGATCATACTTTCGATGACAGACTCGAGAGACTGGACATAGAGCGGAATCTGCCGTTAACTATTACCTATTACACGGGCGAACCTATGTTTTTGTATACGGGTGTTTTCTGATTTCAAACCGAATTTGACAGGACGGTGCTCGGAGACGATCCTATATGGTGAATTTTTATGGGGGAGGGAGGAATTTCGCTGTGGGAAATGTGACAACTCTATCTACCAAAGAGCCTATCGATTTCACGTAAATTAACAGTAGTGCTTAATCCGTAAATACCTTTATAACGCCACGACAGAATGACTTCTCCTTACTGTCTAGACGTCGATGCAGGGTGAACAGGATAAAAAAAACTTGCTCCAAAAATTTGGTCTCAGTAAGACGTATGATATCTCATTGATGAAACGACTGGATACAAATATACAAGGTTAAGATATAAGCTGGATTCCTGAATGGAGGTGCAGCAGCGTGTGACGTTTAGTACGTCTAACACTTACCTACTCATTAGTAGCTTAAAAATAATCATCTCGGACGTGACACGTTTTTCATCTAAGTGTCCGAGGTGCCACGTAGCGTGGCATAACGATTTCCTCAACACTAGCCATACTGCTAGGGAGTTCATTCTGAAAGCACATGACATGTTGCACAATCAATGTGTGCACTGTACACCACAAGAGACTCCTCGTAAGGGCTACGGTCGTGAGTTATCATTTCGACTTGTCGTGGCTCCCCATACATTTGTACTCGTTTCTCGCTTGGATAAAAACAAGCGTTATCTCGAAAACTAAAAGGAATGCAAAAACAGGGGAACCCTGGGACAGACTTTGTGCAGCACATCTGGCTGGAGAGCGTCGAAGCGGAAGGTTCGGTTGATTCTCATATAAAACCCAATTTTGTATCTCGTGCTGGTAGGATCAAGAGAGCAATCGCCAGAGAAAATTAGTTGAGAATCTACAAATATCTTGGGTCAAATGGATGGACGCAGACCAAGTTCCGAACTTCGCTACGCCTCTGTAGTTCCTTGAATGAGACTAAGTCTCCATAATTTCTAACTACCGGTAATTTTCGTAGAAAAATCACCTGCTTTGCAGTTTTCTACACAAGTATCATCGTTATCTTTTACATATCCGAGTAGTGAAAAGCCCTCAAGTAACGCTTGGCGAACAAGAAAAACTATCGTAGTTTGACCTCTTTCAAGAAGTTTTGAAGTCAGTTCTTTGTTCCTTGAGGATTATTTCAAAATTCGCGATCCAGAGGACGATGACCTGCATTCAGAGGTGCCAACGTACACTTTGAGAATTAACGTGTAGTCTCCAAGCAAAATGGAGCATAATAATGGGCGGGTAGCTTTAGCGTTGAACTGGAAAAGTACCGGGTTTAGTCCCGGTTTAAAACAACAAAATTCTTGGATCAACCCATACTCACATTGTGTAGAGTGGAGCAGACCTCTTGCACAATTCTCAGTGCTTTATCATAAGGATGGGATTGCAGCTTGGTAAGCAGCGCATGATGCTGTTCGCGTTTCAACTGATACGTTATAGGCTTATCTGAGAAAGGGAGCTAAGGAAGTCATACAGAAAATACAACAAATGAAGGGAGATGAAGTAGCTTGGAAGACAGGTGTAGATTTACCCAACATGGTAGCCGACAGGGCTGGCTAATCTTAAGAGAGGCCGCATCTCTAGGTGCGTGAAACACAAGTCGCGGTTGTGCACTAAGACAGAAGGAGCAGTCTGTTCAGTCTGTTCAGTCCTATCAGTAGGTTGGAATTGTTTTGCAGTCACTTGTGCGTCATTGACTGTGAAGCGTTACGTATGAAAAGTGTTTTAAAAATATACTTAGTGTAATTGGTTACTGAGACAGTGACTAATATTGAGCAGTCAAGCTACTGACAGATAGGAGAGGGAACTGTCACATCAGTTTTGTAACAGTACAGACAAACTTGAACCTTTGACGCCTATCGAATTCTTAGTGAGCACGGGTCAAGTTCACGGATAACTGCTGGTGTGCAACTGGTTCAAGACAGATTTATCGCATCGACTGGGTCAACACACTAACCAGATTTATCAATAATCCCTTAAACGTGCACAGATACAAAATTCAATTCAAACCGCTCAGGATTCCGAAAATGCTTTTACGTGCAGTCAATCAATCAACCCTTCGGTGCCTAGCTGCTTGAAGGAGGTTCGAGGACGCAGATGCTGTCAGGTCACCAAAGAATAGACAGGAGCAGTCGAGATGCTGAGGTTAGGTTCGAACCATGGGTCTTCGCAGTCGAGAGAGGTTAGGTTCGAACCATGGGTCTTCCAGTCGGTAGGTTGACGCCTTAATCACTGAGCTATCTCAAGCTCAAAAAGCAGTCAGCCTGCTAACAGGGCTCAAACTGAACCAAAACAACTGGTTGTTGTCCAAGTCTTTCCCATTTACACTGCAGGTGGTGATTCATGAACATCAGAGCCAAAAGTACACACCCACACTTCAAATTAAAATTACTTATCGATCTTAGCAGGTATCTAAATGAAGCCATTGTGAAGGTACAACGTGGGGCAAGACAAGAACGACCAGCATGCAGTGTTAGTTCTGCGGGAAAACCCATGGCTTCAAAAGTCTCCAACACACTGAAACGGCTCGGTTTCTGATCGTATGAATAGAAAGATGCTGGAAGATCATGTAAACTTTGCAGCTCAATCGTTAGACTGGTCTCCGAGGCCTTCTGAGGGTAAACAAACTAAAGACTTACAAACATGAATACAAAAAGGCGAGTTTTTTCAGGTGCCTTGCAAGAAATATTTGCAATTGAGTGTTGTGTGGATGGCCGCTGATTTGGTTGCCGAGCCGAGCAACTCGGTTGCAAATGATTCATCACCTCAGTCGATCAAGAAATGTTTGAGACAAAACTACCAAGTTTTGCGAAGAGCTGAGGGTATCACTGAGCAAGTAAAAAAAACCCCGACTCGATGGAGGGTTGCCGAGCACCAGCACCAGCTGCTGACATAGGTAACCGAAAAGGATACAATCAGGAATATTTAGACTTCCGCTTGTAATGTGCACTGTGCAAACCATCACGAAGAAAGACCAAGCCCAGTAATCCATGGGCAGGCTAAAAAAAGATTCATGGAAAGGTTAGACCAATTTCATGTTGGATAGTTCAGAATTGTGAGTAACAGCACAATTATGGAAAAGCAACAAACCAAATTAAATGGTAAACCAAGCAGGGAAAACGGGATAAACGCCGACGTACCTGAGGTAATTTCACTCGGGAATCGGATTATGAGAAGTGAGTACAGTCGTCACAAGCAGAAGGGACCAAATGAATAGAATGACTAAGAAGCTCATTCTCTGACAGATTCTATTGTTGACAGAGGTGATATCATGGGATGGAGACTTAAATACATGAAAATATACTACATATTCCCAGGGTATGCCACTACAGCTAGTTTAGGACTGATACAGCTAATCGATAAACCTATCACGAGGATTATACTTTATGCTGAAGATAACGACAGGCGAGTAGCCGTACATACTCACGAAGCACCGCAAAAAGTTTGAAAGAACATGGGATGCAAAACCGGCTAACAGTCCCTTTCGTTGAGGGGATGGGAGATTTCACCTGAACTACTGATCCCATGAGTAACTTAATTAGTACGTCAGTAAGGTTGTGTTGCAACGAGTATGTGCTGAGCAAACTTCAACTCAAGCCTCAAGCGATCCCAAGCCAACAGAGCTGTCCTCCTCTGCATGGCCTTTTGAAGCCCGCACTGAATGTCACAACCCTCGAAGAACCCTCTCATCTCGCAACACAGACATTTTCCTGAGACACATCGGCACACGAAATTCATTCGTTTCACCTTTCAGGTGTCCGCATTCTTCTGAAGCACATTCACTGCTAGCTTGACGGGTACTAATTTGAGGACTTGTCTGGTCATTTTTGCTTAAGTGGTCAGAGAGAAGTCTGAAAACGTCCAAACAGAAAATGAGGTACATGGACGGTAGACGGGGGGAGGTGATGAGCCAAGTTCTTGATTGCAATCGGTACTTTACCGCTTATGACCTTGTCAAGTATAGGTGGCCTTTTGTGCTGGTCGAGCTGAAATCTACCCATGCATTTGGCTTGAAATTAATCTTTGATGTGAGGTGCCAAGAATGCTCGGACTAACCTGGATTGTCACTGAATCCCCATTGTTGCGCCGCAGTTACTATGGTCAATTATTCTGGTTTACACTCCGGCTATGCAGAGCTTGGAGATTATATCACGATGTTCATACAATTTACAAGACAACGAACACGTCCGAGTATCCCGAATATTTAAACGAAATTTCCGGGATGTCCAAAAAAGGTTGATGTCCAGAAGAAAATCTAAGGATCAGTTGATGTGAACGTAAGGCACCTTGGAGGGTGGGAATACGTGTAGGTTTTTATACAACAACATGAACGGTTCACAGAATATCTTAACCTCACATCTGCTAGTATCTCATTTCATCGGCACACGCTACGATTGTCATCGGACCATCTCAAGAACTTTACCGAGGCGACTCCAGGAAAAATGCAGAGATTTATTAATGGGAAAAATATAGTGCCAAGCCTGATTCTGCAGCCAAGCAAGCAAAAAGCTTCGTTGATTCCAGGCTGAAAAAAACTCGGGAAACATATCAGGTATATTATGAACATTCAGTAACACTAGCATGCGAGACGAACAAGTAAACAACATAGAAATTCAGACAACAGCTCAACCAGTGGGGGAAGAACGATTGAATTCAGACTTCATGAACCCTTTGAATAGTGCGGTAAACAGGAACACCAACTGGGGTCGAAAGTGGATGGAACACAGAGAGAAGTAGGTAAACGGATGGACCGACTGGTGTACAGGTCACGGAAATTCTATCTTTCTTGGATAAAACGTCATTGAGTAAGCAAGTCTACCACAAATTGTGATACATTGTAAAATTCCCGACCAAGCTCATCGCTGCATAAAACTGTCAAAGTTCGAGATTATATGGCAGAGTTAACCATCAAACCAAGCTGTAATTTTCTGGAGGCTAGCTAAGCAGTTACTATTTCAATAAAGCTTACAAAAAGGCTGAAGTGCGGACTTTACTGCTCAAGCCTACAGAAAATGTCCAGCCCAGTAGGGGGAGATGTTTGAACTAAAATAGGTATTTTGTTAACGTCAAACCTACAGAGCGACTTCAGATGCACCTACGTATTGACTTCAGTATGAAGGGCTATTTTAAAATGCATCCGAACCAAGTAGATCACCCTCCATGTGTATGCCAGCTTTGGTCTAAAACAGGCATCATTTCAGTTTAACTTTGTAATAACTAATCATGCGCATGTATCGTTCAGCTGTAACATGCTTCCAGTGCCCAGTTGCCATGCTACCCGAAGGAAGAACGAGGGCTTGGATACTGCCAGGTTGCCCAAGTCTAGACAGGGGAGGGGGAGGTCGGGTTCGAACCATGGACCCTACGGTCAGTAAATTCGCGCTCTAACCAATCGAGCCATCTCGCAAGCAAGGTTAAAAAGAGGATTAATTGAGGCCCACTAAGTATAACTGAAAAGTACATACCAAATAGTGTGTCACGGGATGACACGACAAGTTTCTAGCCATTGAGGGGGCAGGTTTCTGGCATAACATAAAATCAATCTGTTGTTAGGCTTTTCACATTTTGTCTGATTGGAACGCTGTCACACCGCGGGCTCCAGTAAACAGGGCACCACGAAGTTGTTGACCAGCTGGCATGCGGAACGGCACACCAATTTCAGCCGTATCAGATTAGTTGCTGAGCGCTTGATTTGTTGCCGCAGGGCATGTCGCGACCCAATCCATTGCTAACACAACGATCCTACGATCTACGTGTGACAGTAAATTCCGCTCTAACCAATCGAGCCATCTCGCAAGCAAGGTTAAAAAGAGGATTAATTGAGGCCCACTAAGTATAACTGAAAAGTACATACCAAATAGTGTGTCACGGGATGACACGACAAGTTTCTAGCCATTGAGGGGGCAGGTTTCTGGCATAACATAAAATCAATCTGTTGTTAGGCTTTTCACATTTTGTCTGATTGGAACGCTGTCACACCGCGGGCTCCAGTAAACAGGGCACCACGAAGTTGTTGACCAGCTGGCATGCGGAACGGCACACCAATTTCAGCCGTATCAGATTAGTTGCTGAGCGCTTGATTTGTTGCCGCAGGGCATGTCGCGACCCAATCCATTGCTAACACAACGATCCTACGATCTACGTGTGATGTTTCGAAGGCACCGAGGGTCGAAAGTGGACAGTTTCCTTTTGCCTTCAACGCGCAGCGGTCATATTTCGTGGCTATAAAGCGGTAGTGGACGCAACGCAGGGGTGTAGGCGCTGTGCTTCCCTGACAAGAAAGTGTCATGACGTCATCGCGAATGTTCGAGCTGAACAAAGGCGGAGAGGGCTATGTAAAGCTTGACAGACATTCTGTCAGCAATACTATCATTAGAAGAAATCATTGAAGTTACCAACCACTACTGGTGACCCCGACACCAGGCTCGCTGTCCTACCCACCCAATACCGGAGTAGCGCTTTGTACTATGGAAGTGCAAAACGCGTAGCGAGATTTCTAAGGTTATTTCTTATATCTTGTATCTGTTCGCAGCCAAATCCCAGTAGCGCGATATCATTTGCATAACCTAGGTAAGAAAAGCCCAACCGCGGAGGAATTAAATACAGCAAGTTTTTTTCTCTGATAATTTCGACTGCAGATTTGAACGGGAAAGATGGTGATGGTGAGAGATGTGGTAAACCTAGGAAAATATCAGCCGTAGAGTTTTACGTTACTTTCGAATATATGGGTTGAAAAGTGCTGAAAACCCACAGACGTGGAGGCCAAGCGGGGGGGTCAACCGAGTTTCAGGCTGCTTGTAGTCCTCCGGTTAAGAGAGCCATCAGAAAAGTGTAGGGATTAAAAGGTGGTCGATACGTCCGCGATCTGTACAGGATCCTATTTGACTTTCACAATCCCACTGACGAGCGCTGCTGGGCTCCGGCATGGCACCTAGCAGCGATTGTCATCAAATTGATGCCCCAACGGTCCGGCAGTTTTCGTCTCTTTGAGTCCGAACGACGGTAGAAACATTGCGCATCTAATAAAACCAGTAGTTCATCTACTTTCAAGGCATCGTCAAGTCGATAAACACTTCCGCAGTTCACTGCAATATTTGAAACAGCAACAGACTCAAAATAAACGGGTCAGTTCTTGTGTGTTTTGAACACCTTGTCCTTCCATGAAAATAAGTGTACACTTTCAAATAATGAAATCACTCTGGAGGCACTGTTTTATCAAAGATCTTCTGGCAGATATTATGCCCCATAAAAATTTTTGCCGAAAATCACTCCAGTATACTGTACACCATTTCACGTTTACACAAAAAAAGACATGAAACGGTCTATCGAACCGTGATCGGTGAACCAATTACAGGGGACAAAGAGCACCGATTTTCACTCCAGTGGTTTTACTAGAATGACATCTAATTTATGTGAGTGGCAACAAAAACGGAATGGAGCGACTCTAGATACTGTCAAGTCCTGTGGTTAACGACGCATCAGCTAGCTTTGCTCCTCTTGTCACCCGTTCCGATGGACTATTTGTGCAAACACCCAGCCACATTGTTTTGTGCAACTAAAAGAGCCAACAACTCCGTACTTTCTGCGTGCCCTCGGCCACGTTATGGTCGGCGGTCGCAGCAAGCGACGATCGTGTCGGATTTGCACATTTGCACACATAACAAACAAACCAGTGTTTGTGACAGAGTTGTATGGGACTGTCAGTGTATCTACTCAGAAATATAAGAGGGCGACAACGCAGTTTGACCGTCCAAGTGGCATGACTCAGGGGTAAATAGGCTTGGCGATGCCACACCAATGAAATCACTGGGCTGATGTGGGTAAAATTTAAGGTGAGAACGAGAACTATGGGGGGGAAATCCTTCAATGAATGAGTCATTAGCTTATCCGCAAGAAAGAGTACCAACATGGTAAAGAAACTCACATGAGAATTAGAGTGTTAAGGGCGATACTCCAGATCCCAAATCGAATATATCAGCAGGGTGCATCTGAGTAATT